CTGTAAGCAAGGACTGGCCTGTCTCCCAAGACCTGTGAGAGTGATGGGTCGTCCTTCAGGATAGGTTGTAGATCCTTAGAATCATAGAATATCAGGGTTGGAAGGGACCTCAGGAGGTCATCTAGTCCAACCCCCTGCTCAAAGCAGGACCAATCCCCAATTAAATCATCCCAGCCAGGGCTTTGTCAAGCCTGACCATTAAAAACTTCTAAGGAAGGAGATTCCACCACCTCCCTAGGTAACGCATTCCAGTGTTTCACCACCCTCCTAGTGAAAAAGTTTTTCCTAATATCCAACCTAAACCTCCCCCACTGCAACTTGAGACCATTACTCCTTGTCCTGTCCTCTTCTACCACTGAGAATAGTCTAGAACCATCCTCTCTGGAACCCCCTTTCAGGTAGTTGAAAGCAGCTATCAAATCCCCCCTCATTCTTCTCTTCTACAGACTAAACAATCCCAGTTCCCTCAGCCTCTCCTCATAAGTCATGTGTTCCAGACCCCTAATCATTTTTGTTGCCCTTCGCTGGACTCTCTCCAATTTATCCACATCCTTCTTGTAGTGTGGGGCCCAAGACTGGACACAGTACTCCAGATGAGGCCTCACCAATGTCGAATAGAGGGGGACGATCACGTCCCTCGATCTGCTCGCTATGCCCCTACTTATACATCCCAAAATGCCATTGGCCTTCTTGGCAACAAGGGCACACTGCTGACTCATATCCAGCTTCTCGTCCACTGTCACCCCTAGGTCCTTTTCCGCAGAACTGCCGCCTAGCCATTCGGCCCCTAGTCTGTAGCTGTGCATTGGGTTCTTCCGTCCTAAGTGCAGGACCCTGCACTTATCCTTATTGAACCTCATCAGATTTCTTTTGGCCCAATCCTCCAATTTGTCTAGGTCCCTCTGTATCCTATCCCTGCCCTCCAGCGTATCTACCACTCTTCCCAGTTTAGTATCATCCGCAAATTTGCCGAGAGTGCAAACCACACCATCCTCCAGATCATTTATGAAGATATTGAACAAAACCGGCCCCAGGACCGACCCCTGGGGCACTCCACTTGACACTGGCTGCCAACTAGACATGGAGCCATTGATCACTACCCGTTGAGCCCGACAATCTAGACAACTTTCTACCCACCTTATAGTGCATTCATCCAGCCCATACTTCTTTAACTTGCTGACAAGAATACTGTGGGAGACCGTGTCAAAAGCTTTGCTAAAGTCAAGACACAATACATCCACTGCTTTCCCTTCATCCACAGAACCAGTAATCTCATCATAGAAGGCGATTAGATTAGTCAGGCATGACCTTCCCTTGGTGAATCCATGCTGACTGTTCCTGATCACTTTCCTCTCATGTAAGTGCTTAGGTTTGAATAGAGACTTGGAGTGGATTGGTCATTACACAAAGTAAAACTATTTCCTCATGTATATTCACCCACCCCCGTTCCTCAGACGTTGTCAACTGCTGGAAATGGCCCACGGTGATTATCACTACAAAATGTTGTCCCCTCCCCCACCCCTCTGCTGGTAATAGCTCACCTTACCTGATCACTCTCCTTACAGTGTGTATGGTAACACCCATTGTTTCATGTTCTCTGTGTATATAAATCTCCCCACTGTATTTTCCACTGAATGCATCCGATGAAGTGAGCTGTAGCTCACGAAAGCTTATGCTCAAATAAATTTGTTAGTCTCTAAGGTGCCACAAGTCCTCCTTTTCTTTGAGCTACCTCAGTTCTTTACCTAAGCCACTCAAAGACAGACAGCCAGTTTCCCAGCTCCCCAGGCTTGCACCCCCTGCTATAGTATAAACCCAGAATTATATTGTCTTACACTGCACAGGAATCTATACAATGTAAGCTCATTAATATAGGTTTCAGAGGAACAGCCGTGTTAGTCTGTATTCGCAAAAAGAAAAGGAGTACTTGTGGCACCTTAGAGACTAACCAATTTATTTGAGCATGAGCTTTCGTGAGCTACAGCTCACTTCATCATTGTGGCACCTTAGAGACTAACCAATTTATTTGAGCATGAGCTTTCGTGAGCTACAGCTCACTTCATCATGATGAAGTGAGCTGTAGCTCACGAAAGCTCATGCTCAAATAAATTGGTTAGTCTCTAAGGTGCCACAAGTACTCCTTTTCTCATTAATATAGTTCACCTTCCTCTCTCTGTGAGAAAGATATGCACAACAAGCTTGTGTTAACCAAGCTGAGATTTTTCCCAGACACTTCACTCAAAATACACTGGTTAAAATAAAGCGTAAAACAAGTTTATTAACGACAGAAAGATAGATTTTAAGTGATAAGTGATAGCAAACAGATCAAAGCAGATTATCTAGCAAATAAACAAAACCACAAACTAAGTCTAAAATACTAGATAGGATTTGAATCAGTAATCTCTCACCCTGACTGATGATACAATGTGTTCTTAATGGTTTTTTTTTTTTCCAGGTGGATTTTTATAATTTAATACTTTGGAAATGCCAGAGATCTGCTTACCTATCATATTAGATGGGAGATATTACCTGTATCAAAATGGGTGTGTGTTTTTAAAAGGCCTCTGCTGGTCTACTGTATAAATAAGTAACTTTTGTAAAATGCTGTTTTGCTTCTTGTGATATAAAACATCCATATCTGCTTTTGTTGATAATTAATGAAAAATAATGTATAGGTGCAAAGTTTTTTTCATACTGGGTAAACTGACCATTGGCATATAAAACAAGCAAATGTGCCAGAGAATCAAACGCTTACTGCTACAGAATATAACAGTGCTTGACATAGTAATCGATGTTAACGCTAGCACATTCTGTGGGCTTTGGTTATTTTATGCTATTACAGTAGAGGTTTAGAGGTCCCATTTCTTATACAAAGGGATCAAATAAGCAAATAAGTCTAAAAACCAACATCATAAAAGTTAGAGATGGAAAAGATCTACTAGGTCACTTGGCCCTTTCTGCTTTAAATACAAGTAGAGAGACAACTAACCAAGATAGCACTCTTTGGCCAGATATGTTCTGATTGAGTGGGGAAGGGAAACCACCTGTCTAGTAAATCCATCTAAAAAAATATGTGATTTGGTACTACTTTTTATAAACTCACCATTGTGCAAGTCCAAGGAGTTGCCTTTACTCATGGTGAAGTCTACACGGCAGGTGGGAGGTGTGATTCGCAGCCCGGGTAGACAGACTTGTGGTAGCTCAGCTAGAGCTAGTGCACTAAAAATAGCAGTGTGGACATTGCAGCGCTGGCGGTGACTCATGCTAGCTGCCCGAGCTCCCACCCAGGTAGCTAGTCTGAACTCCTGTCAGTGGCATAACGTCCATGCTGCTGTTTTTAGCACATTGGTTTGAGCTGAGCTAGCACAAGTCTGTCTACCTATGCTGGGAATCCACTTCCCAGTTGCTGTGGAAACATCGCCTCAGTGGCTCTCTTCCCATTAAGTCAATATTGGGGTAACTGGACTGATGTAGCCGCTGCCTCTATTTAATGTTTATAATTTATTTACAGTAGCTACTTTGATGTACTAGGTACTTTCCAAACACTTAAGGGATGGTCCCAACTTTACAGAGCTCATAGTCTAAGGGCAGACAGGGATTAGGGAAAGGGGAATAAATGGTAATTTACATACAAGTCAGCTCAGTTCACTAAGTGGTGTGGCAGAAGTGGATATTTAAAAAGGATTCAGATGTGGATTGTACAGGGTCTTTGTAGATGAGCTATGGGAATTCATACCATGGGGCTTCCTGGAAGTGATTATATGAGAAGCTGGCAAATGGGTGGACAAGGCTGGGGAGTATTGGAGCAGAGGTGGTGGGGGAAACATGAAGCTTAACAATGGAGGACAAGTAGGAGAAGTCAAAATATATAGCACTTTGAACTTGGTGACAAAAAGCTTAAATTTGATGCAAGAGTGGACTGGTACCACTAGAAGGATTCAGACGGGGCTGATCATGTGGTCAAATCAACAGTCAAGGAAGATGACTTTTTGAATTAGGTGTACAGTCTGGGTCCACTTGTGATCATTGACAATCCCATGGCACTTTTACAATTGTAAGAGCTTTAGCTCTGCTGTTTGAGCCAAATTCCAATTTGAGTAATTATACTCTTGTCTAACTAAAAGAAAAGGAGTACTTGTGGCACCTTAGAGACTAACAAATTTATTTGAGCATGAGCTTTCGTAAGCTACAGCTCACTTCAACTAAGTTCCCCCTGTAGTTGTAGTAGCTATTGTTTACTTTCCTTTTCAAAAATATATTGTGGTGGTGGTGGTGTGCTCTGTCAAGCCAGAGTGTCTCCAGAAGTGGGTGCATATTAGTTTTGGGTGAGTGATCTGATCCTTTGTGCAATTTTTAGAGCATTTTGAAATCATTCAAAGTGAAGACTGTATCAATAGAAGTTTAAATATTGTTTGTCAAACTTGGTATTTTCTTGTAATTTAGATCCTAAAACAGAGACATAGATGCTATTTTTTTGAAGATTAGTGGGATCTTGACTGTCCTTTGTTGCTCAGTAAAGCAAAGCATCAGCCTACTATAGAGACTGATCTGGTAAAGTGCTGAGCCCTTTCACTGGGAATTGAGGGGGCTTGGCATTTAGCTGGATTGGATCTTTGACCAGGATATTGAAGCTGCATTGACAATTGGGCATGCTGGGTGGGTAGGTAGATTGATTTATGAGTACTTTTCTAGCTCTACTTTCTAAGATTCTAAACATCTAATTTCTGAAATTCCATCATCTATATAATTGGATGTCTGTATAAAGAATCATAATGTGATCTTCCATACCAACTTCTTTGAAATGTGTATTATTTCTTTTTGATTCACCTACTTCAGTCACTAGCATTGCTGGATTATGTAATTTTTTTTACCATAATTGGCATTTTTTAGCCTTGCAAGCTATGCCAGATGGCAGGGCAGTTGGATTAGTAAGGGGTTGCTTAGCAAGCCATGACTATTGCATTATTACCACATCATCATGATATTTTTACTCTTAACAGAAATTCAGGACAGTCGCTTCTCTCCCTGTCTCCCACTACTGATGACATATTCAGTGCAAGGTCAGAAGTTTTTGGATGATACCCTGTTTCAGCAAACTGAGCTGGATTTTGCTCCTCTAAGGTGGGATGAAGTTCCTGTGTGTTGTTTGAATTCTCTGCATTATATGTTCTCTATGTGCCTGTGATTCAAAGAATTTCCAGATACAGTAGAATCTACTTATTAGCAACCCCTCTGTTGCTAGCAAAAAGATACCATTGTCTGGGGATTGCTAATAAGTGGAAGGCAGGTTTGCAAGGTTGCAGCTAGGGAAGGAAGTGCTGGGCTGTGCCATCCCTGCCTGCTAGCCGGGCAGTGGCAGGGTAAGGGGCTTCAGCCCAGATGTTAGGGCTTTCTACAGTACGTGGGGGTGCTAGGGGCCCCACGAAGCAGGGTGCCATTTCAGATTTTGGTGGGGGGGGCATTTTAACCGTGATTCCAGGGGCTACTTAGGCACCTGAAAACTCTCATTTTTTTTTGCAGATAATAACTTAAAAATTATTATCTGACAGGAGAACTGTATCTAATTCCTATATAAAGAAAATTAAATAAATATTAGACTCTAAAACTAACATGTTCTGACGTCTTGTCAACTCACTTAAGGGACATTGGTTAGGTTTAAAATTTTAATATATATTCTTACTTTGTTACTAACTCTTGAATACAACAATTATAGAAAAATCTAGCTTACTTTCTATTACTTTTTTGAAGTTCACCAAGCTTGGAATAGATCATTTAACTTTTGGAAACATCCTACTAGGGCAGGGCCCCGTGAGTTTAAACTGCACCTGCCTGGGGCTCTAGGGGTGTTACGCTACTATAAATAATATACTAGAAACTGACTTTAAACAGGAGTGAAGCTGATACTTTCACATTAACACTATTGCCAATCCCAAATGTTCAAAAATTATGAATCAGGCTCACCAAAAATCATGTGATTAGCTTTAAAATCATCATATCATGTAAAAATAATAGATTTGGTATTATTTTTATTTGCCTTCTGCTTTTTGAGCCTTTTGAGTGCACTGAGATCATATTTTGAAGCTTTCTCCACAGCCACGAGGGCTAGAAACTTCATTTTTCTTTAAGAATTGATGGCTGAAATCATCACATATCCACTCGACTCCAGGAGCTGAGGCTTCAAGGAAAATAATAATTATCATGGAACTCATAACAAAATCATGAGAGTTGGCAGCACTGCTTTCACTTCTGTTTAAAGGTTAGTTACTTTCCAGAAGGCTCTTAAACACAACACTATAGTGATTTAGTTGCAGTTCTCACAGGAGAATATTTAAAACCAAACCCTAAGAAAATTCCACGTTTTAAAGTTGAGAAAAAAATTGAGACCCCTGAGGTATGTCAGGGACACTGCAGGCAGGAAAGGAAAATAAATAGGCACAGGTGCTCTGGGCAGCTCTTCCTCTTGAAAAAAAAGTTGGATGGTCAAATCTTCTAGTCCTTAATCAAGTAAAATTTCAATTGCCATCAGCGCCACCACTCATAGATGTTAACATCACAGTGAACATATGATAACATGGTCAATAACTATACACTTCGTAATTAAATATCTGAGCAATCTTATCCAGAGTTACACATCCTATACGCATTTACTCAGAGACTACATTTTCTGGCATATTCTGTACAGTGCTGAGCACACAGATGGTGCCCAGTGAATAATACAAATAATGACAATAATCGTCGACTTTATGGACTCCGTGGATGCAATTTCTGTTTTTTGTTCTGGAATTGGCCTGGATACAGCTGAAACCCTAAGAATTTGAGGCATAAACACATCTGATACTCATACGACACTTTCTCATTCCTTTCTTTTCTCGAACTTAGAACAAAAAACGACAAAACAAAATACTTTTCAGTTAAAATCTAAAATTGCACAGCAGGCATTGCTCTACAACCCAGCATGGGACAGAACCTGCCCCCCCTTGGCAGGTAAGTGCTCTCCTTTCATCTGACTCTCATTCTCTCTTTTCTTCATCCTTCCTGACCGCTGTGCTACTTTTCATACTTGTCAACCATGACATCCTTCCCAATTGCTGGAGTCTCGGAGAACTGTCCTCCTTGGTTTCGCTCCCATCTATCAGAGTCCTCTTTTTTGCAGCATGAAGCCAAGAGATAGGCTGGTCAGTGGATAGGGAGTTAGCCCTGAGAGACCTGGGTTCTACTCCCCCAATGGAGTTCCTGTATGACCTCAGGCCAGTGCCTTATGCACAGAGTTTCAAAGATTTTTAGGAACCCAAAGATGCATCTAGTGGGTTTACAAAGCACCAAGCCTCCTAGGTGCTTTTGAAAATCCCACTAGGTGCCTAAATACCTTTGAAAATCTGGCCTTTAGTCTCTCTGTGCCTCGGTGCCCCATCTGTGCAATGGGAATAACAGCACTGCTCTACCTCACTGAGGGGCTGTGATGTGAGGCTCTCAGATATTATAGTGATGGGGCCACATAAGTACCATAGGTAGAGTGGAAACTTCTCTATACCACTGCTAGCCCTTCCCTGGGTTTTGGCCCCTTCTTTTCACCTACGCCCCTCACATCTCCCTCTTTTCTAAATGTAAACTTGGCTCAGAGGGCTTGGCTGTATTTCTTCTGAGTCCCCTGCAGACTCAGGGGGTGGGGGGATTTCTTCAGCATCCCCCATCCCCTGCAGTGGGATTCCTGTTTTACAGGTTCATCTGAAGACTTCCAGATCTTTAATTTAATTACCAGCCCTTTCTTATCTTAATCACCCTGCCTCTGTTTGGCTTCCTGCCCCAGGGGCACAGGCTGGGAGAAGCACCTCTCTGCAGAACTCACATTCCACACTAATGCTGTGCAGTTAAGAGCTCTGCCTGGGAGCATACCTCCTGTACGAAACTCAGAGGGGGGCAGGAGCACCCCCTTGTTCCCACCTAAATGGCGCCCCTATCATGGAGCTACCTGGTACCTCTCCCTGGACTCTCCAGGGGTCGGGAGTCAGCTCGACACAGTGCTTCCTTCCCTGTGTAAAGTCCTCCCGCAGGGTGGAACCTGGAGAGGGCAGGGAGAGATACTGTGCAATTGTGCAAGTGAGCTGTAGCTCACGAAAGCTCATGCTCAAATAAATTGGTTAGTCTCTAAGGTGCCACAAGTACTCCTTTTCTTTTTGCGAATACAGACTAACACGGCTGTTACTCTGAAACCTGTGCAATTCTGACACCTGGGCTGCAACCCCACTCCCACCATTGCCTTGCCCACAGTGTCTCCTTGCAGCCCACAGCTCCTTACCTCCTATGTGGTCCTTTGTACAGGCAGGTTTGCAGGGCTGCAGCACCAGAAGGAAGCTCCAGGAGTTGCTGAGCACTGGCCGCAGGCAAGTTTGCGGGACTGCAGGCAAGGGAGGCACATCCCAGTACTTCTTTTGCTGGGTGCAGCCTTGCAAATCTGCCTGTAGTTGGGGCCTTTCTTCCACAAGATGTACTTAATAAACGCATGCTGTTGCCAATATCCGAATCCATTAACATTAAAGTCATTGGGACAGGACTAGTTGTTAGTATCCAGGTTGCTATTAAGTAGAATCTGCTGCAGATAGTTTGTATTAATGGCACAATGAATTAAAGTGATCACATTAGTAGATGGACAGGACAGAAACTGGATAAAATCTGATTAGATATCCTTGAGTTCTGTTTGGGGAAAAGCCTGTCCGTTTTACTGGTCCTTCCATTTTCTCCTCATTTTAACCCCTTTCTTGAGGATGACTGGCCAAAACCCCTTTTGAGTCATTCTGTGTCTCCTTAATCATTTGAGAGAAATCACAGTTGAATGGCATGAGGCACTCTCTCGTTCCCCAGGGCCCTGTCTGATATTCCAGCCCCATGGACGCTAATATGGATTGATCAATCTTTATGAGTAGAGCTGGTTGTGAATTTTTCAATAAGACATTTTTTGTCAGAAAATGTTAATTCTTGAAAATTGACATTGGGAATATTTCTTGGGTCCAGGATGTGATTTCTGGTGAGTGTGTGAGACCTTAGTTCCTTAAAAAGAAAAGGAGTACTTGTGGCACCTTAGAGGTGTAGCTCACGAAAGCTCATGCTCAAATAAATTGGTTAGTCTCTAAGGTGCCACAAGTCCTCCTTTTCTTTTTGCGAATACAGACTAACACGGCTGTTACTCTGAAACCTGTCATTATGCAAGGCACTTAGTTCCTTAGTAACCTAGTGACTAGGGCACTCACCTGGGTTGTGAGAGATCCAGATTCAAATCTCTCCTCTACCTGAGTTCCATGCATGGATTTGAACCTGGGTCTCCCGCATCCCAGGTGAGTGCCCTGGCCACTAGGCTACTGGCTATGCTGGAGTGGAGATGTCTTTCATGTTTTTTTTATTAAAGTGTAGAAAGGTCTTGTTCTTGTTCTAATGTGAAACAAAACATTTTGAAACTTCGAATTTTTTTCTAAAACTGAATGAATGGTTTTTGGCTAGCTCTACTTTTGAGCAGTTATGATTGTGTTGTAGGGATGAGGTCTTAATTCTCTTTTCACTAAGGCCAGTTTACATTGTTCTGGCTATACAAAGGGGCCTTAAAATTTTAGCCTATTGCATTTTACATTTCACTAAAACTCTTGTCCTAGAGAGTCTTTGTTCAGAAGGAAAACAAATGATTCTTCTTGTGTGATGTTGGTAAGGAGTGTACTCTGTTTTAAAAAAATGTGCGTTTCAAGACATAGATGCATGCAGTCTCCTTGCAATGTTGTCAGTATTTAGGTTACATGACACAAGAATCCAGGCATGAGGAAGGAAAAAAGTATGTTGTATCCCAGTGCCAAGTGTCACTGTTTCATTACTGGTTAATAACATGTGATTTAAGACTTCGTGGATTCAGCTGGAATTGATCTTCCAATGAATGTTGAAGAACTATTGTATGCACCGTGGAGTGAAGCTCATAGAAGAATGATTATCAAAAGCAAATAAGGCATTTAATAATTCAGGGTGAAGACAAAAATGTAAGAAATCTGTGGCAGTCTCCTAACTATTGCAACCCCTGGTGTTCATTTCAGGCCTGGCCTATTTTATATCCTCGTTGAAAAATATTTGAAGTCCTAACTTGGAAGATTTTTAAAACGAATACTGTGTAGGGTATTCATTTCTAAACAATATATAGTTGTCACATTTTTTAACTATTAACAAAAATGAGACCTATGAATACAAAGAGAGTTAGAGGGTCCTAACTGGTGGAAAACACTGACATGCTCATTAGAACCATAGTAGTTATATTTCCAAACCATTATTTATAGGGATATAGTAATCATTTTTTTAATGTAAATTATCCTGTTTTTAAGGATTTAAAATATCTGCTTGAACTATTTGGGTAGTACCTTCAGATGTATGTGTTGCTAAATCCTAGTTGTTTGCTCTCATGTAGAAGTCCTATCTTTAAGCTTGTTTCTTTTAGGCGGAAAATAAGCTTGTTTCTTTTAGGCAGAAAATGTTGGTGTTGAAAATAAATGTTACCAGAGAAACATTTTCTTTTTCTTTTCTTTTCTCTTCCAGGGGAACCTCTGATGTTTCTGATGCTTCTGAGCAGCATTCAAAGCCTTTGCAGATCAGTGAAGCTGTGCAGCTGGCAGCCACTGAAATACCTTCAGACTTAGTCAGTGGCTGCTTGACCCTGTCCGAGCATCCACTTGCAGTCAGCACTGTAGAACCTTGTGATGTCAGCTGCACCAGCTATTTGTCTCAGCACCCCATTTGTCTTTCTGGACAGATACCTGTGGAGAGGAAGGAGAAGGCTGAAGATCAAAATTGTAAACTTGGTATTAACAAGTCTTTCATCCCCAATAGAGATGAAAATTTAACAGACCCAAATAGAAAAATGCTGCTAAACGAGCCAGAAACAGTACAGCCTCCAGAAGTATTTGCTGCAAAGGAAGCCACTAGTGGTTTTGTAAATAATAACTTCTTTTTAGACAGCAATGTGCCAGCTCCTCTCCTCCTTGAGCTTCTGGAAAAAGAAGTAGGATTATCGAGCCATGGTGGGTTCTCATCTTCAGAAAGCTCTTCATGCAAGAGCATATCGGCTAGGGACCCAGGGAAAAACAAAACAATGCAGCGAGTAGGAAATATTGAGCTTTCTGACAGGGAGTCAAAAGTGTTTGTAAGAGAATCACATCAGAAGCTGGAAGAAGAAAAGTGTGTTCCTGAGCTTGACTCCTCCAGTATGTTTTCTGATGTTTTGAGGAGAGAACCTTTTAAAAATTCCAATGCCCCAGATGTGTTTTCTGCAAAGCCTTCAGAAATGTTCATGTTGTCCAAGGGACATAGTTCAGATCTGAATGACTCTGGCAGATTGTGGTTCTCTGGTGTTACTATGGAGCCCCTGGGAACCATTCTAGATGAGCAGCAAAAACAACTGTTTTCTAAAATGTCTGGGAAACAGGAAGAGGAGCCTCTCTCTGCTATGTCCAAAACTAGTGTCAAGAACAGCGCATCTGACCAGCCAGTCACAGCTAGTGTAGAATCTGGTGGAACATGCAGTGAGAAGAATACTGTTGTGGAAATCCCGTCTGGAATTAACAGAAGTGAATTAACTCTTTCAGACTTCACCATAGAAAGGGGACATAAAAATACAGGCATTTCACCTTTATTTAATCTTCCTGTAGATGATGGTTCATTCTTTGGACATTTAGCTCAACCAATCTATCAGTCCACCCCGGGGATATTTGTAAGCAGAAGTGAGAAGCAGGAAGTACCTGGTAAGCCCCTTCCTATCAAATCAAATCTTCAGGCTTCTCTTATTTGTTTAAATGAAGAAACTTCTAGGAACTCATCTACAAATACACTTGTTTCTTCTGCTGAGAAGCATCATGCATTCCAGAGTGGACAGGAAATAAACAGTGAAAGTTGTGAGTCCTTAAGAACAGTGTATCCTCGTACTGGAAGAATCCAGTCTCTCCCTACCCTTAATTTCATGGAAAAGGTAGGAGCTTGGAACGTGAACCAGCCAATGGAGAAGATACCTGATGCTTTGGCTTTATGTGGCTTGAGTGGAGTTTCTCCAAGGAAGAAAGCCTACAGTGCAATTGTTGATTCCTTAAATCATATTTTATCAAAGCAGAGCAGCAGCAGTGGTAACCTCAAGAGTGGTTTAGCCGCACCCTTTGGCGGGACGGGTTCAATGACCAGTTTGCATTCCTGTGATAAGTCAGCACATGCTTCACCACTTATCAGGTCTCAGTCTGACAACTCAGTACATGTTATCAGCAGAGAGGCTTCACAGATTGAAGTTGTTCAAGCAACAAACCCAGATGAAGTTGTTCAGCCTACAGAAGACAAGAGCAGAGTTTCTGGAATGCCTGAAATTAGAGAAAGTGGTGCTCAGTTAGGAGACTCCACAACCCCACAGTTTACAGCTGTTCTTGTCACTACTGGGTCCGGTGGTGGTGGTGATGACGACAATAATAGCATAGGACAAAATTCAGATCAAAATGTCTTCATTTCCAGTGAAAGGGTTGCTCAACTTCTCAGAGAGGAGGAATGCTATCCAAGTGGTGAGCAAGAGAAACACAATGGTCTTGAAAATAATACCAGACAGTCACATGGTCCAGAACTCTCTACTAGCCAGATTGGTATGGATCATTTCAATGACATTTCTCCAGATAGTTTAAACCTCCTGGCTAGTTCACAGGCAAGTAGCCATGTTGACTTGACCTCTGCAAGCTCTTCTTCAGTAGTTGCCAGGGATTTTTTCACCAGTTTAGAAGGGGATAACGTCATTCCTTTCTTGGCTCCTACTTTGAAAACTCCAGATAAAAAAGACATAAATATTGAAGAAAGAATACCGGTAAGATATTGCTTGTAATTTTGCCACTTTTCTTTAGGTTTAGTCATAGGAAGACTGAGCGGCCTCAACTTGTGTTAAAAGAAATAGGAGTTGAAGGTGATTGAACATCACAAGAAAGAGCCCATTGTATGGAGAGACTGGTGTAGTTATAGAAGCTTTTAATATCCCATGTGTGGTAAGAATATTTGGTGCTACAGCTACAGACTTCTTCAGCTTAGATGTTAGCTAATATGATTTAGTTTCTAAATAAGGTAACTGAGCCAAGTAATTTTAAAGGACTCCTTCACTGAAGATAACTTTAAAATATATACAACTAAAATCTTCTAAACCCACTTTCTCCTACAGTGTTTTCTTACACTCTTTCTGCAGTCAGGGTAAAATTTATTACTGACTAACATGGCCATGGCACCACTGAAATGGAGTTGTGCCTGTTTATGGCAGTAGTGAATTTGTCCCATAATGTTGAATCAGTATTTTAAGTACTCATTGTTGATCTGGAAGTAATACACTTCTAGGGTATATTTCAACAAGACAGTGGAAATGCCTGGGCAATGGGTTTAGGGAGGATGATCCATGTGTAGAGGGTAGCATGGAGGCAGGAGTGGGAAAAGGATATATATGGCGTATTAAGGCTGGTGACAGTGGCTGAATGTAGAAGGTAAGAATAAAAGCAAAAGGAGACAAGGTCAGTGATATAGGTTGGGGTTGAGTGAAGCAGAGCCTTGAAATAAAGGACAAGGTGCTAGAATTTCTGTTTGCAGTGCAACGGCAAGCCATTTATGACCTTCCAGTCTCTTCCATGTAAGCAGACTGTGATGTCCCAAATGTCAGGTTTTGATTCTACCACAGACCCTGGGGAAAAGCTAGGATGCAAGAGAGAGAACTTTTCACACACCCACACATCTTCAATAATAGCAAAAGCAACACAGAAAATTCCTGGCGAAGCAGATGGCTTCTTCTATAAATATTATTTCTTTTTTAAGTTTGCCCCAGTGTAAAAGTCTTAAACAACTGATGATTAATAAACACACACACACACACACACAAAAATGATAGCCATTCTGCCTACAGTTCCTTACATAAAGACCAATGGGATCTTATTTTGCTAATCCAGTCTCCCCTCCCTCTCTTTTCAGAGTGGCTAGATATAGGATGGCTGCCAGATTAGGTGTCAGCCATGTTAACACTTGCCTTTGCTGATAGCTGATGAGTTAGTGAAAATTAAATGCAGATGTATGTTAATGATGGACTTTATAATTCAGAATAAGTGGCTCCTCTTCTTGCAAAATGATTTCTATAATAACAATTTAGTCTTTGGAATCAGACTTTTACTCTTATTTTCCTTGAAAATTCCTTGAAATTTACACTGGGAAAATAATCTTAGAACAGCTTCTGTGTGCATATAAAGCTATTCTCAGTTGCCTAGGAAGATAAATATTGAAAGAAAGATGTGTGAAATTTATTAAAGGTAAGAATCAGAGACTACAAACTATCTCTGTTCTAAATAGAATTAGCATTTCCCCTTTAATATTCGTTTTGAGGAATTCTCTTCTCATAAATCACTGACAGGACTCAGGAGGTTTGATCATGCATTTGGCTATTAATATGTATGTCTATAATACAATAATAGAAATAGAGATGGAAAAGATCTATAAAGTCATTTCGTTCATTCCCCAGCCAGTGCAGAATGTATAATACAGATGAGGCGAAATTTAAACCGTCCTTATGAGAAGGAATCAGATAAAGCTTTGCTTAACTGGCAAGTGTCTTCACTGGTGTTGCAGACTTTGTGAGAGAGGGGGAATCATTTTCCTAGCTGATCCGGGGAGGTCCCTTGAATCTGTTATAGTAGCATATTCAGAATATTTGCTTTTTCTTTTCTCCCTTTATTTGGGGTAGGAGCTGGAGTGACAAGGCAATTTGATTTCTCCTCTAATCTTTAGGTTGACTAGGGAAGAGAATTGGTCAGTTCCTCTCCAATTTGAATTCAGTGTGAGAAGGGGAAGAAGTTACTTAAGGTAAATCTGACTCTTCATGAGTCACTGATCTGATAAAATCACTTAGAATGGTGTAGAGCTGCAGACAAGGGATTAGACAAATGTGAAATATCAAGTCAACAGATTTACAAAAAGTTTTAATAAAAAACCCCAACAGTTTCTTCAAAAAGCTTTTGTATTTTCTAAAGAGCAAATCCACGTGATGATCTTGAAGAAACTTTCCAGCAATCACAACGGGTATGCTGCTGGTTCGATATAAAAATGGGGTTATCTCAAGTGCTCTCTTTAGAGTCAAACTGTTCTTGTTTAGTAGGGACAGAACATAAGAACATCATGAAGAAAGAAAGAGATAATAGGACAGAAAATATCGTATTACCTTTAAATAAATCCATGATACGCCCACATCTTGAATACTGCATGCAGATGTGGTCTCCCCATCTCAAAAAAGATATTTTGGAAAAGGTACAGAAAGGGGCAACAAAAATTATTAAGGGTATGGAACTGCTTCCATGTGAGGAGAGATTAATAAGACTAGGACTTTTCAGCTTGGAAAAGAGATGAGTAAGGGGGGGGGGTATGATAGAAGTCTATAAAATCATGACTGGTTTGGAGAAAGTAAATGAGGAAGTGTTGTTTACTCCTCACAACACACAAGAACTAGGGGTCACCAAATGAAATTAATAAACAGCAGGCTTAAAACAAACAAAAGGAAGTATTTTGTTGCCAGTGCAGGCTTGTACCATGCAATGCTTTCACAACTGCTTTGTCCAATAAGACATTTAAACAGTTCCAGCAATGGGGCTTCCATCACTTTCCTTTGGAGACTGTCCCATGGTGTAATTGGAATGTTAAGGAATTTTTCCTGATGCCCAGCCCAAGTTTTAAGGTATTTTTTGGACAGGAGGAGGGTATGTTCCCTTGTGCCATGTTCTCATTTTGATAGAAAGGGCTATTAAACCAAAGCCTCATTTTTTCCTTCCAGATTTTAATTAGTAACCATTTTAAAGGAATACTATCAAGGGAAGGAGGCCTAAAATTAAGACCAAGTGGAGGGATGGCTTGATGTGTAATAAATGCAATGGTCTTGTTTGTTGTTGGTACATCTGCTGGAGAACAGGTTGAAACAAACTTTTCAAGGGCAGGGGGATGTTGAAAATAGAAACTTTGTGCGTTTTGGAGATGGTGGTTGGGGTAGGTTAAAATCTGAGTTCCTTTATAATAGTACCATATATATTTATTGCTTTCTTTGTTCCATGTCCCCCCTTTGTGTCAGATGTATCTTCGTAATCTTGGCATTGATCAGTCACCTTCAGCTATACTGACTCCATTTGTACCCAGAGGACCAATCAGGGAGGTTGAATTTTCCCCATCAGAGCTCAGAACATTGAAGGAATCCACTGACACCTTAACAAAGCATGTCCAGCTATCTGAAGGTATGGGGAAAGGCAGAGGCATGCTACAAAAATCTTAGAGAACAGAACACTTCATGCACTTGGTTATTTCTCCTCAGTGAGGGGTGTTTCCGTGCCAATTACCAGCTTTCTGCCTCCAGTAGTTTTGAAAGTAGAGCTGTTCACAAAAGTGTTACAAGGATATTTTCATAATGGGAAAAGTGTATCTTTGTTTCTCTCTTTCTTTAGTTTCTCTGGTGCAATATGTGACTAGGGTACAGGTAGACAGTCATACCCAGTTATCTAAATACAACCAATCCAGAGGCCCAAAATTGGGGATATAGCCAGGAGTGAGTCCACCTCAAAACAAAAATTGTTCAGGACTAATAAATACATGATTCTGTGACCTAGTAGGTGGGGCAAATGAAAGCACATTCAACTAGATCTATGGCAACTTCCATAGCATGCCTTCACAGTGAATTGTTTGTTGAAATATACATTGCTGCTGGTTAGAGAACTGCATAAGTCTTTATGAAACATTTCCTCCTTGATCTGGCGTCCAGATCTCGTACCCAATTCAGGAGAGCAGTCTTGCAATCTCTTTACAGCTAATACTTTTCAGACCAACTCCTTGAAGGTCACTACTGCTTGTCTTCCCAGGAGTCTCTGCATTGAGTTGATTTGCCTTTCTGAGCCAAGGTGGCTGGATGCAACTCTCTCCCATGCATATATCAATCAGGCACTCTGTTTTTATTTTACTTTATTATTTTTTAAAGTATCATGAGTGTTTCTCTACATATCCTTAGGATTTCAGATCTGATGAGTACTCTCATTTTATTGCTCTGCAAAGAATACACATCAAATTAGAATATCTCAGCACTTAGACATTTAGGTTCATAATGTTTCTAGTTATTTGAAAGTTTCCTTAGTGTACATAAATCCTAGAAGTTTGTACCAAATGATCAAAAGGCTTTATTTCAGAAAACCGTGATCATAAACAGTTTTAGTAGAAGCCATATTCTTGTATATTTTCTTATATAGGTTCTTATATATTTTCTAGAATAATCACTTTTTAGGAGGCCTTTGGAACAAGGCAGATATTCTACACTGAGGTGAATGTTTCCCATAACCCTTAATTAATCTTTTTTTCCCTCTCCCCAGGTTCTCTGTCTGCATTTGACGTTACTCAGATAAGCTTTAACTCTGGTGCTTCCACGCTCGGCATGTCTATACCAATGGGTTCAGAAGCGGGCCCTGATACTCCATTACCCACTGAGCTCTCACTTCAGTTCTCAAGATCTTCCAAAGACAAACCACTGAGTCAATGCAGTATTGCCTACCATCAACTGGAGCTACCTGCCGCACACTCCACCAAAGGCGGCTCAGAATCTTCTGCTGTTTCAAAATCTGTTGAACTGAGCCAGATACTTCATACAGTTCCAGCTGGCTCTGACTTTGAAGAGGGTCACACTCTTGTTTCAAAACGTGTTCAAAAGCTGATAGATAAATTTGAGTCTAGGGATATTGGCCTCAGCCTAGAGAAGTTGTCCGCTAGTCCTTTGGCTGGAGATGCAGATGAAATGGATGTCGGTGGAGAACCACTGTCTTCAAATGTAGATGCCTCAGTTAATGATTTAAATAAGGATCAAGGAAATGATTCCTTCATTGAATCCAACACATTGAAAGAGATCCAGAAACTTTTAGCAGAGGCAGAAAATATAGCTTTGACTCAGTTTGATCCTGTCCCTTCTGTTGCCCCTTTCCAAGAAGTCGGCGACTTTTCATCAGTGCCAATTGAAAAGGATGGTTCTGAAGATTCCAGATTAGCAAAGGAGATCAGTCCAGCACTTCAGAGAATATTATCGTGGGATGAGTCCTTGACCAGAAGAAGCATGCAAGAAGATAGTTCACTAATGAAGACCCTGAATCCCCACAGGCGCAGTTTAAAATGGGAAAGCTCTCTTGCTATTGATTTACCCACCAAGGAAGAAATTGTGGAAGAGACGACTAAACCAACACAGCAGGGAGCTATGGAAGCTTGTGGCGTAGCAAAATCCATAGGGAGGTCAGAACCGGAGGGTTGCAGTAGTGCAACAGTAGATAAAAACTTGCCTGCTCTCATGGCTCTTACAAAGAGTAGTACAAGTAGTAAATCAAGCATTGAAAGGGTTTTAGAACTGCGGAATCCTTCTGCCACGGAGCCCTTAGGCAGCATCACCAGTGACCTTGGGGATTTTCAGCATGCCTTGGCTAAAACTAAAACCAATGTGGCTGGCAGCGAAGAGGGAGATGGCATTCGAGAGAGCGATGATAGTAGCAGTGTAGATTCACTAGCTGCCCGTGTCAAAAGTCTTCTGAAAAATGAATCTCCTGTGCTACATGCAACACAAATACTAAAAAGTGCGGAGAAAGAGGAGAGAAAAGCTCGTGGTAAGAAGCAAATCACTGTCTAAAATGACTGAGGGGTTTTACGCAAGACATGAGAACACTGAATCCTACTTTGATGAATATAATAGAGGCTGCTTTAAAAATTCTTTTGGGATGCAGCAGATTGGTTATGGGATATATGGAGCCTTCCATTTTGGTGTCACCATTTTGAATTAGGCATTGGTGATGGTGACCGAATCTTTACCCTCTGAGATTCAGGTATCCTTATCACAATTTGCACTAATTGGCACCCTTGTTGGCTGTCTGGTCAGAGAGGCGAAGGAATGAATGGCTATGAAGACTATTACTTTTTCACACCTAGAAAGGCCATTCCAGATCAGGATTGAGTTATACCGGCACAGTGATGTGGGGAAGCTTGCATCAACTCTGCCCTGTGGGTACGTGAGACTTGTGTCCCAGAGTTTTTGATCTGCAGTCTTCTTACAGATTAATAGCTTTGTACTCTGTCCCAGCTTAGAATAAACTATAGTATTACATAGATTTAAAATTATATGCAAAACTCCATGGAATTAAAACACTGAATTTGCCAGGTAAAAATGCCATATTAGTAAACTATAGAGGAAGGTGGTCTTCCAAAACCAGTTGAAAATAGTCATGCATTTGCTATTGAGGTTACTTTTCATGTAGTTTAAAGTTAGAGACTTCCCCTTCCCCTGCTCATTCCTGGAAATTGAGATAATTACCCTTGAATACGTAAGTGTCAAAATAATTCATAGACGGCACCAAATTGTTGATACTAGACCATTGGGCTGGATCAACTTAACTTGTGATTTGAACTCTTAACATGGTTGTTGATTCTGTATATCTTTAAAGGAAGCTATTTCATATGACTGTTTTCTGTTTGTGTAGATAGATATTCTTGCTGTCCTAGGTTAAAAGACATTTGGTAGGAAAATGTTACTTGACTCTGGATCGAGAGATGATTGTGTTATGAGGATTAGGCAGTGGGTACATGAGAAAGTGTATGGGGAAAAAGGTTGATATCCCTTAAAGGGATAGACAGGAGCCTGCAGCCTGGGGATAAATAACAAGACCCTGCCTTGGCCTAGGGGCTGAGTTATATAAACAGGAAGTAGAGCTGGGGTGAAAGAGGGGAGAAGAAGCCAGGAAGGCTGCACTGGGTGGTAATTGCTCCCTGAGGCGCCTGGAGCCAAACTTGGCCCAATTCTGAGACTTGGGTGTGTACTGTGAGATTGGGAGCCCTGAACCTGGGCTTGATGAATTTATTGTTGTGGTGATTCCTAGACTGAGAACTGTTTGATGTAATGATACCTGCCCTGAAGCCTTATTAAAATGTGCTTAATGTATGTTGGCTTCTCCTTGCTCTGGGTTGTTAAAGTGGAAGCTATTGCTGCTCCACTTGGGAAAATTACAGGTGGGGCCCAGCTGCAGCAACACATTAGGTTGCAAGGGAGTGCTCAGACAGTACCTGCACCTTTACAGTGCATCATTCAGGTAGGTTCTCACTTACTGTCATTAGAAGGTGTCATAATAGTCCATTTAAATTTAGTCCTATTCCTAGTCATTCTATCTTGTATGGTATTTCTGATACTAATGTATGTTCCCACCCAATCCTGATAATTAGCATATAGCACACTTCTCTCTCTAAAATTAAAATGGCATCATAAAGGAATTGGCTCTCTGTTTTATGTTTTCTGTTCACAGCATGGGTGAAGCTGAAGCTGACTAGCCAGCCTCAGGGTTCTGTGTCAGATCTGAATGAAGAGGACAGGCAGAGAATAGACGAGATCAAGACAGAGCTGCTTCTGAGTGCCAGGAAGTCTGTGTTAGCCAAGGTATAAAGGAGATGATAAAGCTAATTTAGGGGAAATTTTGGAAGGGGACAAATGCTACAGATTTTTTTATTTTGGTGTGGTGATTGTCTTATATCCACTGACTCAGTGTATTTTACAGTGATATCTGACCACCAATGATGATTTACCATATAAGTGTTGGTGACATTTAATGAAATGTAATTCTCCATGTAGCTTGAAATGTAGAGGAAATAGTGTGATAAATTTGATGATAACTTGCCACTGTCACTGCTGTATATTCTGTTCAGAACACTTCTGATTCATATATTTCCGTATACTGCATCCTGAGTGGAATTGATGAGTAAGCTTGACAGAGTATATTGTCTCCAATCTGCCCTTGAATTTCTATTTGTTTTCAGCGTTTGTCTGAACTAGTGTTAGCTATGCCATGAGGACCTTGGAACTATGAGCGGCTGCCTCTGTGTCTGAAATCTTGATGGATCATTTAACGGAAAGTTTGCAAGCAAAAAGGGCAGAACGGGTGAAAGTATGGAGATGTTTGTCTGAAAAGCTAACAAATGGGTTGGTGAGGTTTGCTTGTTGGCAGAATGGAGAAGGCCAGGTTGATATGGGAATTGACAATAAATGACAAGTAGGGAGGGGCAGAATTGGCGACAGCCTTTAAGGTGAGCACAAGAAACTTTAATTTGAATCTGTGCTGATGACTTGTCCCTCACCTGCTGTCTCCCCAAGAAAAGCTCACATCTTTTAGTAGTCCACAAAGGCGTAGCGACAGTTACCTTATTCTGCTTTCTGATAAATTTTCCTCGGCCTGAGATCTCCAGTAGAAAAGGGAGCTGTGGGGGGCAAAAAATCACAAAGCTGATATAAAAATAATTGATTGTGTCCTGAACTAAAGAATGTCATGGGTAATATTATCTGTGTGTTCTATGGTTCATTAACTATTAACAGTGGGGATGATGCAGGGAACATTAACCTGGAAACGCTTGTTTTTTCTGGTAACTCTCGAAGTTTTTCTGATTTTGATATAAACCTTATATGGAGAACCTGACGAAATAAAATTCCAGACTTTCTCATAAATACAGAGGAAAGAGACCTCTGTGTCTCAAACTAAAGGTTAAGAGGGGAATCATGCAGATGTCCAAACTATGAGAGGGAGCAAATGGATGGATGATAAAAGATCTGTTTACTACCATACATAAGTCCAAACCTAGAGGTATTAGGTTGATTTCTTCAAGGTGCTGATTCAGCAAAGTACTTAAGTAAGAAAGTGCTTTGCTCAAATGTGGCCTAAAACACTGGCATAGAATAACAGTGTAGTTTTTTTTTTTTTTTTTTTAAATCACAATTCTCCCTGAAAATTATCTGGCATTTCAATTAACACCTAAGCCTACTGTAACTGACAGATCCGAAAGACCAGATATTTTCTGTATTTTTTACTTGATGCATTTGGCTGCACTCTGTACAATCAGTTTCTGTGCTTTCACTTATATTCAATCAGCTTGTTTCCCCTATCGTTTGTGTGGATCCTTCATACAGTAACAGATGAGAGAGAAATAGTTTGTTTAAAAAAAAAAAAAAACAGTATGATTGTAAACTACAAAAATAATCATGGAGAGTCAGGCAGGTGTCAGGCCTGGAACTTTCAGCTTACTTTGTGAAATTTACTAGATTTCATATTAACAGTGTTCTCACTGGATATTTGCATACCTCCATAAGGTCATGAGTAACCTATTGTGGGAGGGAATGTGCAATGATTTTCCCTCTTATATTTTCTTCAGACTCTCATCTTGCCAGGATGTAACTCTGACTGGGCAAGGGGGCTCACAAGCAGTTTACAAGCAGTTTTTAAGTGTGAAAATGTTGGGGGAAAATAGCAGGTTTTGGGGTTAGTGTTTTTTTTTTTTTTTTTTGCTTTCTGCAATTCTAGAGCAGTGATGTTTCCTCACTGGCTTCAGCAATGCTGCAGTTTGTGTGTGTGGGGGTGTTTTTTTTTACACAGCTGTACATTTGATCTATACATCTAATAATGTCATATTCACTCCAATGACACTACTGGAAGTAGGCACCTCGTTCCCTGAACTCTGAACCTCTGCTACTTTGTCATAGGTACTGTTGCTCTTTTTTACACTGACAAATACATTCAGGTTGATTTTGAAACAGAAAAACTAGTCTAGAGAGAAGGTTGCGAAAGAGAAGTAGAAATGGGTTCTTTAAAAGATAATGGTTATAGGAAAAACTGACGGTTTGCAGGAAGGGTATATGGAACCTAGAAAGCATAAAATATCTAGAGATAGAAGAATGTGCCTGTTCTGAATTTCTTCTTCTAGATTTACTTTCATTATATGAATATTCCCATTGCAAAGCTCTGTAAGTGGATGTTTACAATTCGGCAATAAATATTCACTGTCTAAAACTCCTGTTGCTAAGCCAGATTGTGCTTTAAAAGTAAGGGCCTGAGTTGAGGATGGTACAGAGCTTCCCTGTCTTAGGGAGAGCTCAGAGAGTCATAAAGCAACCTGGAGCTCCCCAGCATGCAGGGAGAAGGTACATTCTTGTACCATCCTTTAAGAGTATTATGTGCATCCAACTCTGACCAAGGCGGGGAGAGACTCAGGAAGGGAGACCATGGCTTTGCATCCTCCCAAACACTTTGCTGTGATGGTAATAGGAAACAGTCTCTGTGTTTAGGAAAAGGCAGGCACTGTAATTGTTGCTGGCTCCTGTGACGCTTCCTGGGGGTACGCAGGGTTTTGAGGCATCTTGTTACCACCTGCCTTTAGAGTGAGGAAGCCTTGCCCATGCCTTCTGGGGTCAGCTCCCCAACTCCATGGGCAACACAAGCACTTCACCCTAAGTCTCCAAAGGTCCCACTGCTTCTCTACAGGTTAGCACACTTAACAAACCACCGAGCCTTGCAAGCATCTCCCTTGAATGTCCAGCCCCTGTTGCACTGGACACTCTCAGTATTCACGCATCTGCTGCTTCCAAAGAAACACCAGGTACACCTCAGATCACTGCTCTGCTTAACGCACACCAGTTATATATGTTTACAGAGAAATGAAGTAGAAGCTTATGTAACAGATCAGAGATTCAAGTATTATCAAGAAGTAGTATTGGAAACAAATGGCTACATATGAAATAAAATCATAACATGCATTCTAGAACCTAGACTTAATTAACAAGCTACTTTCATGTCTAAAGTATTGCTCACCAGTGCTTTACAGCTAGGCTGGCTGTGACCCTTCTTCCATGAGATGCAATATGCTGTCACCTCCACAAGTGAGGGATCCTGTGTTTCTTTGCATTCCCTGACATACCAGCCTAATCCTTTGATTTCAGTCATAAACAGGACACCCATTCTCCCCCGCACCAACTGATATATATATATATATATATATATAAATTTATTTTATTCCCTGTAGATTTTTCTCTTGTAGATTTCACAATCTTTTGACTGATATCTGGTTCAGTATGCAAATAGGCATCCTTTTTTGAGGCATACAGTATACAATACTCTCGTGTCTAAACAGAGATAGAAGCATCTGTTACCTCCTGTTGGAAAAGAACATGTAATGCCAGGTGGTGACGTGCCTCAGACAGGTTCTGTTCAGGCATCTGTTCAGGTAGAGGCTTGTCTCTCTGTGTGGTCATTGTGTGTTGCACAAGGTATGTCTGTTTGCATACGGAGTCATTAGCTAACCAAGACTGCAAAATCGGCAAGCAATGGTGAAATCTACAGGAAGGAACACACTGCAGGAGTCTGTCCAGCTTATGAATGAAGATCAGAGACTGTTTTGATATATCTGAGGTTTTGAAGAGATGCACAGTATTCTTTACCTACGTGAAAAGCTGGAAGCATGTTCTCTCATATGAAAAAAGGATCATAGCCAGGCTGGGCTGAAAAATGTTGGAAGGACTTTAGAGTTAAGTTTGCTTGATACGACATAAAAGTATCTAGTTAAATAAGTCTAGGTTATAGAATGCATGTTATGATTTTATTTTATATGTAATCATTGGATATTAGGAAAAACTTTTTCACTAGGAGGGTGGTGAAGCACTGGAATGCGTTACCTAGGGAGGTGGTGGAATCTCCATCCTTAGAGGTTTTAAGGTCAGGCTTGACAAAGCCCTGGCTGGGATGGTTTATTTGGGATTGTCCTGCTTTGAGCAGGGGGTTGGACTAGATGACCTCCTGAGGTCCCTTCCAACCCTGATATCCTATGTTTGTAATATATTCTATGATTTGTTTTCAATATTTTTATATGCTATCATTTGAATCTCTTCTCTTTGTTGAATAAATTTTTCCTTGTTTTCACTATAAACATATCTAAGTGCTGTGTGTAAAATGGAGTGGTGATCTGATATGAAGCTGGTAAGCTGGAGTGTACTGCTTCTCTGGAAGCAGTGAATCTGTGAATACTGTGAGTGTCCAGTGGAGCAGGGTCTGGATACTCCAGGGAGATGTTCGGGGATTGGAGTGTGCCTATCGCTAACCTGCAGAGGGATATTGGAGCCTGTATATATTGGGAGTGGAGTATATGTGTTTCCCATGGTTGGTGGAGTCAGGGAGCTGATCTCCAATAGGCACAAACAAGACTTCCTCACTCTGAGGGCAGGTGGTAGCAAGGTGCCTTACAATCCTGGGTACCCTGGGAAATGTCACAACAATGGATTCCACTTTCAACAGATTCTGGCAAATTTGGCCCCATCCTACGCAGTGACCAAGGTAAGGGACTTTGGCTGCTCTTATGTTACATTTTGACTGCAAGATCTGCATCTTTGATCTTCTTCAGGACAATCCCAAGTGGTTTTTATGATCTGTCCAGAAGATGGCAATGTCATCTATGTAGGCTAAAGCAAAATCCTGGACCCAGCTAACATCTGGTTAATGAGCCTCTGAAATTTGGCTCTTGCATTAATTAACCCAAAGGGCAACACTTGGGTCTTTTTGAGTTCAGAATTGATCATGGAGGCATTTTTATTTTCTGCCCTTCACTGTGTAAGGGAATATTCCAGTA